AAATTAAAAAGTAGTATAATTTCAGGTTTATAATGCAAATATTGTTTAAACTGAAAGCATTTGGTATTTTGCTTACAATATTTTTTTAGGGATAATTTAAAATGTGTAGCTTTAAAGAAAAAAGTTTTACGGAATTATAGCGGGTAAGCAGCTATTTCCACATTGTTAGGGCACAGAAGTTAGAGTTCCGATTGCCACATTAATCAGAAAGAATTGAGACTACGAAATCCATTTCATTTAATCTCATTATTGAATAAACAGCTCTGTAGTGATGCCTATTTGTACTTGTTTCTCTAATAAAAATGCAACTGTAGCTCTCAACACAAATTAGTTTTAATTATTTAAATGATATGAATTTGTCAAACGTAAATAATCTAACACCTGTTTTGCCTTTTCATTTTATGAAAAAAATATTTCATGAAAACTAATAGAGGATGATAGTGGGGAATAACAAAGGTAGGTCTATGTATTTATTACAATTCTATTAATTCCAAATAATGCAAGTGTGACTTGATTACTATCTAGCAGGATGAAGAAACAGTCCATTTCATTGCTATGCAAGGACACAACAGAAAAGAACAAAACAGAAAGATGCCTCACATACACTGGGTCAATGCAATGCACTTGTACTATGCTCATCTCTGAGAATTGGTGACAGTGATTTACAGTATAGCAATTCATCATGTGAATACAATGATAACATTACAAAGCAATGAGTGGTGAGCTTTTGAGACACTTAATCAAGGCACCAAAATCTGCCATGACAGTCACCAATATATGCGAAAAAAACCTTCTCAGGCAAAAGAAAAGACAAATCTGAGTTTCCCTGCTTTGTATTTGTTTTAGTAACTTCTTTTCAGGAGATCTGCCTGACCATACATGAAGAGTACCCTAAGTGTCAGAAGGGTATAATGTGGTATAAAAACCAATTGGTAGCTAACTCTGAAAATGGAGATCTGTTTGTTTACTCCACAGAGTAGTATAATCATATTTGTTGGTTTTGTTTCATGCTACATTTTGTTTTGAAAGATTTGCTATTTAAAATACTGGGTATCTTAACACACTGCCCTGAATTCATTTATCATTTGGTTGAGGAGGGAAATTAAACATGTAATCCAGTTGTGGTTGTTGGTGGTGGCCTCATATGGCACTTCAAGCAGTGAATAATTTGTATGACTTTCTGTATATTAAACTATACTAATATTGATTCTGTTTGTGGTGTATTAACTGTTATCCATTCTTGGTAAAGGAAATGCACTAAGGAGATATTTGCTGTTCTAAATCAACAAAGCAATTTTAGAGTCACACGAAGCTGTTGAAACCTACCACTCAGTAGTTTGTCTGCCAGATTAATCATCTTTATTGTTCCTTCTGGAGGTGTCTCTCTTCCTTCGTGCAAAATATTTCCAGCAGGCAGGCTTATCGTGAGAACTTATGACACTCCAAGGATATGATTATGTGACCATCACAGATAATATTGTGCCCTACATATCAATGACATAGCCCAGGGTTTCAGAGCTGTCTTTAAAAAAAAAAAATATGCAAATTACAGAATATGTTTTCTAAAGCATTTTATTATATTTCAGAGTGCATTTTCTCTCAAAATGCTCCTATGATTAGTTTGTATTGGCTGTACTCTCTTCTCAGTGCAGTTAATATGAAACACTTATACTTAAATTTTTGCATATCGGCCTCTTTTTTTAGACTCTTTGTTTGCAACATTTAATTATTGTGAAATAATCAGTAAATATATTACAGGAAAGGTACTGTGGGACTACTGCTACTGTTTTGATGTCATCAAAATTCAACTAAAAGTCAGTAGTTAGACAAAATTATGTTTCTAGTGTTGCAAAGACTACAGTATGCAACTACTCAAGAAAAACCTGGATTTCATTTAGTTCTTGTTATTTTGATAATAATTTTAATAAATTTATAACTTGAAACTATATAAACTGCAATGTCATTTAAAAGGAAAAAAAAAAAAAGAAGCATATGCAAGAAAGCAGCATGATTTAAAAATTCCCACTATAAACTGGAGGACACCTTCATGTCGTGGTACTCTTGATGTTGAAGAAAGGTCTAGTGACTGTCTTTAAGCCTCCAGAACTGTTTCATTATTAATCTGACCACAGCCTTGGAGAGAAAAAAGTCTTTTTAGAGAAAAATTTCTTTTGCATTTATGTATTAGACTGGAACTTTGGTCTTCAGTTTTAATGGGCTGAACATAGAACTATTTTACAATCTGGTCAACTAGCTTGTAATCTAGATACATAAATTAATATAAGTAAAATGATAGTATTATCTTTGCTGATGTTGCATTCAATGCTGCAATGTATCTCAAGAAGCCTTCATGTTACTAAAGATACCATGATGACAAGCAAGTACATTAGGATAATCAGGTTCAATATTAGTATCTTTGAAACAATATCAAGTTGTATCTAATTTTTTTAATATATTACCCTAAATAAATGGAGTTTTTCATTACTTAATCTGAGCTCTT